ATGAGCATCACTTATGTCAATCATACATAAACATTCATGAACATCACTCATGTCAACATTCATGAGCATCACTCATGTCAATATCCATGAGCATCACTCATGTCAATCAGCTTCAAAAGCTTCATTTACAGAGCTCTAGCTTCAAAAGCTTCATTTACAGAGCTCTAGCTTCAAAGCTTCACTTGCAAAGCTTCACCTACAAAGCTTCAGTGCAGGGTATACAAATACAACCTCCGAACAACCACCATTTCGTCTTATACATGGATTCAATTTGAAGTCTCCAGCCAACATACTCTATTGACCGAAGACTTGAGGTACTACATTACGTACCATATATTGGGCCTCAACTGGGCCTCATGAAAAATACTTGGGGGACTTAACCCATCACTTATGTATTGAGGAACGAGCCCTTACTCTATAAAAGGGACTCCCTCACCTTCATTAGAGAGCATCGCCGCCTGCTGAGCAACCGCCTTGCCGCGAGCACCAACTCTAGCCCATCATTATTTATGTATTGAGGAGCGAGCCTTTGTTCTATAAAAATGACTCCCTCACCACCATTAGAGAGCATCAACTTTAGCCTATATTTATGTATTGAGGAGCGATCCCTTATTCTATAAAATGGACTCCCTCACCATCATTAGAGAGCATCAACATTAGCACATTATTCATGTATTGAGGAGCGAGCCCTTATTCTATAAAAGGGACTCCCTCACCATCATTAGAGAGCATCGCCGCCTATTGAGTAACCGTCTCGCCGCGAGCATCAACTCTAGCCCATCATTTATGTATTGAGGAGCGAGCCCTTATTCTATAAAAAGGACTCCCTCACCTTCAACGCCACAAGCCGAGCCAACCAAGGCAACATAAGCCACAAGCCAAGCAGCCTCGCAGCATGTGCTGCTTCTAGTTGAGCATCAGGCACCGCCTCATATCGAGTATCAGTTCTAGACGACATCTAGTTACTTCGGCCCAAACATGGATTGAATTTCAAGTCTCCAGCCAAAAGACTCTCTTAACTGAAGACTTGGGGGACTACTGTTTATACCATACTTAGGGCCTCCGTATTTAGACCTCGTATAAATACTCGAGGGACTTAAATGTAATTATGTAACAAGGGAATGGGCAAATATGTAATAAGTGAGGAGCCCTTATTCTATAAAAGGACCCCTCACCCTCACAATTAGATGAGGCCATTTTCTTAAGGCCCCTTCATCCTCTCAAAGCTCTCACATTACAGAGCTCTCTCTCTCCCTCAGAAATACAATAATCAGTATGGATGTAGCCCAAACATTGGGGTGAACCACGATACATTTTGTGTTATTTACATTTCTTGCAGATTCACGGTCGAATTTACGTTGTTCCAAGACCTCTGGTTTTGTGCATCAACAATCTTGATATGTAAAATATTTTATTATTGAAATAATTAATGATGTTTATTAAACCCAAGGGACCTTGATTAAAATTTGAAAGGAAATAAAGTTTCAATCAATAGAGTTGAAAAAAGAAGGATGAAAACCTAATTTATAAATTGTTTTAATGTGTGTGTATATATAGCTCCTATGCTCTGTAAATGAAATCCGTTTTCTGACAAATCTCTCATACAAATTGTGAACTATTTCTTTATTACTTTATTCATGGATAAATTACATTTTACCCTTTCAAATTTCGGTTCAATTACAACCTCATACAACATATTTAAAACATTTCAATCTCATACATTTAATATTATTTTTGTTCAATTTCATACAACTGTTACAAAATCTATTAAATTAACCGTTAAGTGATGAAGTGACAATTATGTGGTCCCCATTTGTGCTAACGTGGCTACCACATTTGTGCCACGTGGCTAAACACTTAATAACAAATTTAAAATATTAAAATAATTAATTAAAAAAAAACCCAAAAATTCCCCTTCGTCTTTCCCACCCCATTGTCCCCACCTGAGCCCATCCCCCATCACCCACCCCCTTCTCTTATTCCTCTACCCGAGCCACCCATCCATCTACACCGTCATCTTCCCTACCCAAGCCACCCCTCCATCCCCTCCACAGCTATCACTTATGCACATTTCTCCCTTTCCTTCCAAACGACGCACCAGGACTTAAGGACGGGGCGGGGCGTGGCCACGCGGATCTCGATGGGGGTGGCGAGGCGGGCATCGAGGATGCACCTGATCATGAGGGAATGGGAATCTGGGTTGAAGGTGTAAAACTAGGAGGAGATATGGGGCTCTGGGGAGATGTAGATGGGCTGGGTTTTGGGGTCGGATTTGAGGTTAGGGTTTGAGACATCGTCGTTTTCGTCAAGGGAGTGGGAGGAGGGGGGAGTGGAAGAGGTCGATTTCCAGGGGAAGGGGGGAAATGACGTCGTCAGCAGGGAGTGAAATGGAGGGCGGGGATTCCATGATTTAGGGGGGTTTGGGTTGCGGGGAAGGGGTCGGTTGGGAAGGGGTGTGTTTTTTGGATGGGAGGGGAGGTGAAGAGAGTGAAGGAGATGGAGAAGGTGGGTCGGGGAATATGAGTTTCAGGTCTTTTTTTTTAAAGGTAAATTATTATATTTTAAATGCATAAAAAAGTTTTTTTTTAGCCATGTGGCACAAATTTGACAGCCATGTCAGCAAAAATGTGGATCCCATATTTGCCACATCATCAATTAACAGTTGACTTAATGGATTTTCTAACGGATATATGAAATTGAAATAAAATGATAAGTAAATGTATGAAATTGAAATGTTTTAAAGATATTGTAAGAAGTTGCAATCGACCCCAAACCTGGGGAGGTAAAATGTAATTTACCATTTATTCATTTAAAATAATGTTCTAAAAAAAAGCATACTATATGAGATAAAATGGGCTAATTTCATTTTTCTTGCTAATTAGAGTTAAAATATGAATTTTAAGTTCCAGTATTTTCAGAATCCACTTGAATTGATTGGAATTTGATGTTATGATCAGAATCTCCATAACTTGAACTATTTATAATAATTTATTGAATTAGCTTTAGCATGATCTAAATTATTTAGTTTTAGTGTGATCTACCCCTTATGTTACCAAAACAAAACGTAGATATCATATGTTTAATATTAGATACTGATTACATGTATTATTTTTCTTTAGACCAAAGTTGAAAAGTCAAATTAAAACTCTCCATATGATTGATAATCTAGTTCTTAGTACCAATTTGAAATAGAGTGACAAACTAGAACCAGTGTGGCTACGATTACATTCATGTCAAGATTACAGTGTTACGTGTAAATTGCTCTTTATATAGTATTTATATATTTTTCTTTTTTTTTATAGTATAAACGATAGTGAGGATGATAAAATTAAATCTAAGACCACTTGGACAGTTAAACTACAAGCTTCTTCTTAACATGGCGTTTGTATCATTGTTTCGGGGCATTACAGTAGTGGTGTATTTGTTTAATGTAATACTACCTCATTTGGGAGTGAGCCTGATAAACTAAAGTAAATTAGACCAGTACTGCTCATAGGGAGAAATATATATTGTGTCATGGGCTTCAAAAGTGTCCACTACTAATTGAGATCATTGTTTGTTTATGCACTTATCATTTATGAAAAGTTCTATGGTGTTAAAATTTTAAATCGTTTAATCTTAACGCTGTGTTGTTTTATTAAATATCTAATTATTAAAAAGTTCTAAGAATCAAATGCTCCCAAATATCATAGAAAATTCCTCATATATTTGTATATTTAAACTTGTTTGTACACACTTTCATAAGAAAATATAAAACAACAGATGAAGCTGATTAAATTCATATAAAAAAAATGATGGTAACAAAAAATTAAAAGAAACTAATAAGTATTAAATATCTTATATCTCTATGACTATTCGATACAACATCTTCTCGAGAAGCTGTAGCTTTCTTAGCAGAAAATTGATCATTGACTTTCGTTTATACCTAGTCATTAGCCAAATATCTTACATTTTTTTTCTTTTTTTAAAAAAAAAAGAAAAGAAAATTTGAGCATGCCTTTACATGCCTAATGACAATTAAACCTTGAATTTTGATGCCATATAAACCCAACTTCCTAAAAACTGACAACAAATGGGTTGAGGAGAAGTTGAACTCATACCAAGTCCAAGACCAAATATTATATACATGAAACAATTTCTACAAAGTCAACGTCTCCTAACCATAAACTCAACCTAATCCCAATCCCTAAATCCCTTCAAATTAGCCCTTTATTAGGCAACCAAATGCAGACCTACAAACCCCTCCTTATATTACTTAATCAAGATCGGAGTAGGATTTTTTTTTTTTTTTTTTTCTTGTTCTCCTGTTTTTTTCTCTCTTAAGCCACGTCACGTTAACTTCTTTATAAAGAGAGAAAGACAAAATGAAGAGTGTGAGAGGATCCTAGTCCATCAAGGTCGCACCCACAAATTTATGTGCTACTTGGGACCATTCCTGCACCGCATGAGAATAATTTAGGTTGGAAAGTGCTCCCAAATTTACATAAAGAAATCAATGCTCCTTAAGCCATGCACCAACCGAGTATTCAAAATTCATCCTATGTCGAGAAAGTTAAGTAGGGATGCTTCTTGCAACGACACACTTACAAGTGAGTAGGATCATTACGTGTAAATCTCAATCGGGTTTCAACCTTTTGTGAATGAACTGCACATGGAGTGGTCGTACCTAAGGCATTCATCTCGCCCTACATTTCATTACAGTAATAGTACAACTCTGACATCTCAGTAACAATTTAGACTTGAACCGACATCATAGGTAACATATTCATACAAAGTCCAACTTGTAAATAACTCGCATTGACAGCCTACGAGATATACCTCTAAAAAGACATTTATTTAATTTACAGCTTAAATTGACAGTTTAACAACATAATATTCGAATTCTCTTCTACCTATTTTGTTTTTGTGGCAAACCTCCAAATCCCAAACATTTTTAGAGCGTAGGGAGGCGCGTTTGTTTTACTTTACGCCAGCGGCGACTGAGGGAATTTAAAAAGCAAGGAAAACGTACCATAATACCATTCACTCTTTCCTTCATTCTGCATTTGCTTCCATTACTTTCTCACCACCAACTTGGTTTTTTTCGACTATTTTTTCATGATCTCACAATCATAATATTTTTCTGTAATTCCCACCCTTGAATCTCTCTCCCACTCTCAAACCATTTGGTTTCACCATCACTTGTTTTCCATACGTCTACAGAACGTGCAACTGTTTCTCTTGATATACACGTAGTATCCAAAGCTGTAAGTCGAATGCTATGGTTTGATTTCTTCCTTTTGTTTTTATTTTGGTTTTGGTTTTTGAATGTTTAATTTCTGTTGTTTTGGTTTCCTGGTCATGATCTGTTGGTGGGTTTCTCTTGAATCCTTGTTTGGTTGCTGAGAAAATTAGTTTGAGTTGAATAAAAGGAAAGAAAAGTGGAGATAACTCTACCTTGGTCCCATACACTTGCATTTGGCAAAATGGGTTTTCTTTTCTTATGACTGTGTTGTACTTTCTTGTGCTTATTTTGTGAGCAACCAAACAGAGCTTTTTGGGTTTGTGGTTGACCCAATTTCCTAGATTTTCTATCATCTGGAAATTTCATTGGTAGAATCTCTTGGTATCATATGGGATCTCAGTTAATTTGATTGGGCTAAATGGTTGGTAGGTCAAGTTATGATATTTCACTAGTTTTGCTAAACATAGACAGTTAGACTGCTGAATTTGCTTTTCCCACTTTAATTAAGCTTTTATTTGGATAAAAAAACTGGTTGGGTTTTTATTCCACCCTGCCCCAGAGAAAAAGTTTCTGTAGTACAAACTGTTATTTTCCCTAAGTAGTGTTAAGGGCTTTTAAATTCATAAATAATTGAGTTAGTTAATGCTTATTCAATGTTGGTTTCCTGTTCAAAATTGGAAATGGGAGCTAGTATTGTACACTGGTTGTTCTTTTCTGAACAATTTGGAGTTTGTTATTTGATTATTTTGATGGCCATGAATTTCGACAAATTACTCGAAATCGACCTCACAACGCTGATAGTTTAGTAGGCTACAAACGAGTGGCACCTCCGGTTTGCTTTGCTTAGCCTTGATATAATAAGATTGGATTTTGCAGGTATTTTACTGGGATGGATAATTAAACAGCAGTAAAGTATAGTTGATGAGATGAAGGCTGAGGCAGCTGTGCTTATAGTTGGATTATCTGCAGGGGTAGTGATTGGAGTGCTTTTGGCAATTTCTGGATTCTTCTGCATTAGGTACCATAGGAGGCGTTTGCAGATAGGGAATAGCAGTTCTCGGAGGGCGGCAACTATTCCTATTCGTGCTAATGGTGCTGACGCTTGTACTATATTGTCAGACTCGACCCTTGGTCCAGATTCACCTGTAAGATCCGGACAGAATGGAAAATCCTTCTGGCTTGAAGGATTTAAGAAGAGTAATGTGGTCTCAATGTCTGGAATACCCGAGTATTCTTACAAGTAATGTTTCCAGAAAACCTGTTTCTCTTGTGTCCCTTAATTCTTGATTTAGCATCCTTTGATGATGTCCTTTTGTCATATGGTGGATAACTTGAATTCTTATCAGAGGAATGGTAATCTAATGTGCACGTTAAACACACACAACACAGTCACAAAAGCTTTAAATGCCTAGATATATACTGTGTTTTGCTTCAGTTGTTATGTGAGATACCAAATGCCATACATCTATAATTGCAAACTTGACTAGATAGATCCATACCATATTGTATTCTCGTAAGATGATACACACTAGCAAACATCCCGCCTGCTTCATCTTGAAATTTTTGGTGTGTCTTTCTTCTCAAGTATTAACTGCTTACTCCTCAGAACTCCCTTGTTTGATTTTTTGATGAATTCACAATGAATTTTGAAAGGAGATGTAGCTTATTTTGCACACTTAGTTCTCTATCTTCTTTCCCATTTGGTTTATTATTTTTGTTGTTGATGGGGTTCATACAGGGATCTGCAGAAAGCAACATGTAACTTTACAACATTGATAGGGCAAGGTGCATTTGGTCCTGTGTACAAAGCTCAGATGTCAACAGGTGAGACTGTTGCTGTTAAAGTGCTTGCAACTGATTCTAGGCAAGGGGAGAAAGAATTCCAGACAGAGGTAATGTTTTGTTTGATGGTTAATAGTGTACTAGTTTTATGGTTCCAGCAGCAATTATTGATTGATGCTATAAATTTATTGGATATCTGTGCAAACGTTTGGGAGCTTGGTGAAATATAAGGACGTTAGTCCACTAATGGATATTGTTAGGAGATTACTTGCTGAGAATTTGGAAAAACATAAACGTGCTTAATGTCATGTAATAGTATTCCTTTTAAAGTAAAATATGTAGTCCAGATTGTTTCATCAATTATAGACCCTTACTTTTTAAAATTTTCCCCTTCAGGTTAAGCTATTGGGAAGGTTGCATCACCGAAACCTCGTGAACTTAATTGGATATTGTGCAGAAAAAGGCCAACATATGCTTATATATGTTTACATGAGTAAAGGCAGTTTGGCCTCTCATATATATAGTAAGATGGGCTATAAACTTCAAATATGTTTGCTTTAATGTAATCTTATAGATTTATCACGCAATATGAACTTCATTAGATATGCGTGCGCAAGATATATATAACTGAGAATAGCATGGTTTTCGTTATGCAGGTGAAAAACATGAACCATTGATATGGGATTTGAGAGTTCTAATAGCTCTTGACGTAGCAAGGGGCTTGGAGTATCTTCATGATGGAGTAAGTGAATCTCACTGCGTGAGACAGTGAATTGCATTTGTACCTGGGCATGCCGGCACATGTTTTTATTTGTTAATTTCTAATTTTTTTTACTTCAGGCAGTTCCTCCTGTAATACACCGTGACATTAAATCATCCAATATTCTGTTGGACCAATCCATGAGAGCTAGGGTATGTCTTCCAACTTTTCTGTAATAACTATTTCCAACTGCAGATTCCAAATTATATCATGTTGTGGTAAAGGAAATATTTAATTTACTTCCCTTCCAAATATGGAACAATTGGTTGCATTTTGGATTACATATATGCGTAACATATTTATTTAAAACAATATAAGGGAGGATGCCTTTTAAGATATTTCAGAGGGATATATTGGGTCAAGCAGGTAGCAGATTTTGGACTTTCAAGGGAAGAAATGGTGGACAAACATGCAGCTAATGTCAGGGGAACTTTTGGTTATCTTGATCCTGAATATATATCTACGAGGAACTTCACCAAGAAAAGTGACGTTTACAGCTACGGAGTTCTGCTCTTTGAGCTCGTTGCTGCAAGGAATCCTCAACAGGGTTTAATGGAATATGTTGAACTTGTAAGATCTCTCTCTCTCTCTCTCTCTCTCACACACACACACACACACACACACACACACGTACACACACACTGCATATGCGCACGTCTCATGCACACTCACACACAGAGGTTATCTAGAAGAAACAGGAACATATGGAATTCCAATATTGAAGTAATTTGACCCTGTGATAATATGGATAACCTAGGAAAATAGTAGAGTACATGAAAACGGATACGATGTGTTTGTTTGTCTGTGTGTTTGCTCTCACTTTTTCCTCGCTCCAGCCTTAGAAGAAAAATGAAAGGGAAGTCTATCATTTACTTTTTCTTTTTGCAGATGCACTCTTCCACTTATATCCCAATAATGCTGTTTATTTTGCACATCTAATGATATTTCTGGTTGAAAAATAGGCAGCGATGAATACAGAGGGGAAACTTGGGTGGGAAGAAATTGTGGATTCACGTCTTAATGGGACTTTCCATGTGCAAGAGCTTAACGAAGTGGCAGCTCTGGCATATAAATGTGTCAACCGTACCCCAAAGAAACGGCCTGCCATGAGAGACATTGTACAAGTGCTATCACGGATGCTCAAAATGAGGCACAACAAGAATCACACGAAATCCTTGTCAGCGGTAACAGATGAAGGCACAACTGACACGAACCAACCAGAAACCAGAATCCAAATGGCCGAACACCAAAGAGAAGAGTCTGTAGACAGCCTAGCCGATACCTATGAAGTATAGACGGTGGCTTCCCCATTTTTTCGTTTTTTCTTTCTTATTTCTTGGGTTTTCGACTTTGCTTTTTTTGATACATGTGCAGTCTGTGGGCTAGAATTAGTGGATTTCGAGTAGTTAAGATTTCTGGTCGAGTGACACAGGATTTTCGGTTAAATATTCGACCATGTAACATATCGTTTTCTCATTCTTCCTCCCTGTTTTGCTCAGATGACAGATTTCTAGATTTATATACCATATTTAGCAATGGAGATGAAGGAAAAGTTGACCCCCTTTTGAACTTATTTCCCAATTATTTGCAGTGTTGCATAATTTACAACTTTTGCGTCTTACATTGGAAGCAAACCTTTCACCAACAAAAAAAACAAGGTAGGGAACATCACCAATGCAATGCTGTGCTCTCTGCATCGAGCAACCAATGATCGTGCTGTGATAGGGAAATGATCTTGCACTCCCCATTTTCTGTCTTAGTTCGAAAAGTGCTTTTGAATGACTGAAAGTGTTTTTAGAGAAAATATATTTGGTTTCCAAAAGCACTTGGTTTTCCAAAATGAAATTAATGTCATCTATTCAAATCCAATCTTAAAGACGAAACGACGTTTTCGAATCCAATCAGAGTCGTAACCAAACAGCAGTCAAGACACTAGTCCCATCATACGATTTGGGCTGGGCTTTAGCTTATGCTAATGTCAGCCCATCTCGAAGCCCATCTTTGAGTACAAAGACCTGCTACTCTCTCTCTCTCTCTTAAGCTACTGCTTCTCTGTATTATCCATTTCTGTCACATTCAGAGCCAAGCAACGAGAAAATGGCAGCCATGGCTGCACTTCAGAGCTCCATGACCTCTCTTTCTCTCTCCTCTAACTCCTTCCTCGGCCAACGCCTCTTTCCCCCAACCCTGTACTCTGTCCCGGTACGCTTTCCTTTTCTCCTCCAATTCTTATGTCAAATATAATGATATATACATGTACATATATATTTACACATGTATTAGTATTTTGCTGCATTTCAGTTCTTTGCTTGTAGCACTGAAGTGGGTCTTGCCTAAAATGAACACTCTCTCTTTGTTCCAGTGGTTTCTGCAGATTGATGTGATTTTACTTTTCTTTGTGAAATTGAATTCCTTTGTTAATATGTAAAAGTTGGGTTTCTAAGAATATGAGAAATGAAAAGGAAATGGATAATTTTTAATGTGTTTATGTACAATTTTGAAGAAACTGCATCTCTGGTTACGGTTCTGACAGTGTTGGATTCTCTGTTCAAAATTCTCCAAGTGGGTATTGTAAAGTTGAATTATTTCGTTGAAAGTGAATAAAACCAGATGCAGGAATTGACTGAGAGGTTTTAGTGGTTGACGAAGGTTTCCGGTAAGAGTGAGCTTTATACTTCCCTAATCAAAGATTTGGTTTTCCGGGTTTATAAGTGGCCCTATATTAGTGGATGACAATGTTTATGCTTTATACTTCGTTGACATAATGTTTAGCTGGAGTGAGCTTTCAGTTTACATAGTCATGAACAGGCTTTCTGTATCCTACATACTGATCGTGACACACATATCGGTTCATTCTATTAGAATTATTTCATTTCTTTTCATATTTTTTGAGTTAACGCCTTCAGGAGATGGGATTCACCAAACGTGTCATGTTGAATTTTACTAGTAAGTTTCTTAAAAAGAATCTGATATGTTTTTCAAGGCCATATTTCTGCATGGGTTTTCTCTTATGTTTTGTTCTTTCTTGTCATCTCAAAGAAACAAAATTTTATACCGTCAAGGTAATGGGAATGGTTTTTATACCATTCACATTGTAGCTTTGAGTTTGAATTACTCTGATCACTGGGAGGAAAAAGGAGAATCATTTCGTAACAATTTATCTGCTTGTTTCATGTGCAGCCCAAATTAACAGCAAAGCCTTGTCTCATTGTAGTGAAGGTCAGTATCATAAGTCCTATCTATCTTTTCTTTATTTTTGTCAATAAGTTTTTTCTGTTGTATACAATCAAAATCTGATGCATGTATGGTGGAATTGCTAACTTACTAGAATAATATGAAAGCAATCTTTGAGCATGTAATTTGACTCATAATTTCCGCGGACATGCACCACTAAGTGGGACTTACAATAGTCACAAAGAAGGCATTTGATTGCAACTTATTCACGATTGGGGTGGAGAGTCTTTTATCTTGATTTCCTGGCTAAACCAAGAAAACGTTATTTCAATGTCTGGTTTACATAATTTAGTATCTTTTTCTTTTTAAAACACTATTTTGCTAAATGGGATATGATGTAGCACATTAGGGCTGTTCACCTCCTGAAATATTGCTCTTTTCGTCCTCTGGCAGCTCAAAAGATGGGAGCGGAAGGAATGCAAGCCAAACAGCCTTCCAGTTTTACACAAAATGCATGTTAAGGTTGGGGACACAGTGAAAGTCATATCTGGACATGACAAGGGTAAAACTGGAGAGGTGACAAAGATCTTTAAGCACAACAGCACCGTGATAGTCAAGGAGATAAACTTGAAGACAAAGCATATGAAGAGCAGGGAAGAGGGTGAACCAGGACAGATACTTAAGGTTCTTTTTCTTGTAAAATTTGTAATCATCAACTTATTAGTTCTTTTGTTTCCTTGCTTGCTAGTTTCATTTGATTACAAATAAACATTTTAAACTTCATATTCCAGGTAGAAGGAGCCATACACAGCTCGAATGTGATGCTTTTCTCGAAAGAAAAGAATGTAGCAAGTCGGGTGGGTCATAAAATCCTGGAAAATGGACAACGAGTTCGCTACCTCATCAAAACTGGTGAAATAATAGACAATGCAGAGAACTGGAAGAAATTGAAGGAAGAAAAAAAGAAAACTGAAGAAGCCGTCACTGCTGCATAAGGATCAAATTCTTACCTGAACGCGGCTGTAGCTTAGAAACTCCAGATGTATTAATATCATTTTGTAAGTTTGTATTAATTCAATAACTTCTTGTGCTCTCCAGTATTGCACTTACAACTGAGTTATATAATTTTGTTTATTTGCGTTGGTTGAATGAGAAATTAGAATGTTGGTCGTCCTCCAAAACATGCTAGTTATCTTTTATTTAGTTTGCATTTTACTGAGCATGGGATTTTTCTTCAACACTATGCGTTTGGTGCTTAGGATTGTAGAATTGGCTAACTCACCGGATTCGATGTTGTCGAAAGAACGTAACTTCCAAATTTAGTGTAGCTGAAGGTAGAAGATGGATTACGTTTGGAAGAGAAGTTTTGTTCGTAACTTATCCATCCAATTCCTTCAATTTGAAAAAAAATTTGGAATTTGACCTTTATTTCTTCCTTCAAACGTACCTTCAATTTTGTGAGTTATCTTCCCTTATCACTTCATAACATTCGGAGTAAGTGCATGGAAATTCTCTTAAACTTGTTTGTCTTAAGATTGAATCAAATTGAAAAAATTGTTGAAAACCTAAAATGTATGAAAGCACGAACTTTGCATATTGTGAATTCGTGTTCATATGACGAACCAATTTTACTATCTTCATACACAAAATAATTCATTTTGAGATTTTGAAGCACTTAAAGATGTTAAGAAATGAGAAAGTTATAACGGAAATTTGTAAATTGGCACGAAACAAGTTGAACTTGCATAGAGTACAACTCGTAGAAGCTCGACTTGCCTATGTTCGGTTCGATAATAAACCAAACTTGAACATTGGTACAATCAGCTCGTAGAGATCTTAAGCAAACAATATTTTCTTCATGAGACATCTTGAATATACTCTATCAAAGAAATTTGCTTAGAAGGATCATTTTTCTGATTTGCTTTTGGAGAATTATCTTCACTTTTATTTTTAAGTATTGATTGACTATCTTCATTTTAACTTTTTATTTCCCAAGACGGAGGTTGATATTATAGGAAAGGGATCCACCTAATCCATCAAGTTCGGAATTCGGGTAGTTGAAATTTAATCCAACGGTTATAATTATTATAACTTTTAAAGAGACCTCCTATTTATAAGCTTTGGATCAAATTTCAACGGTCTGGATCACAAACTTAGTGGATTAGGTGGAAAGGGTTCCGAAGTGGATCCCTTTCCGATATTATATTCCTCAGTCTTCTTTTGTTTTTGAACTACATGCATGATAACCTAGCCTCTCACTGAGTTCCAATCATCTAAAAAGAAAAGAACGTCCATGTGGTCATTTCAAAGTACTATTCATAAAAATTGTATGTTATATTGTTCATGTGTTATTATAGCTCACTCAATAAAAATCATCTAAGCAAAATTTTTATTAAAATGAAAATCGTTTAATCAATCAACTATAACAATTAAATAAATTGTTCGTAATATTGCAATTCATTGACTAAACAAAACCATTTCTTTGGCCATGATCCCGTAACCTCTTTGCATGTGCAAATCACATCGGCTCTAGACGTTCGCACAAAATTCGAAAATATTAATCAAGATGTTCCCTCGAAATTTAAAAAATACAATTAATAGTCTTTCTCATCCATTTCTTTCATCTCCCGATGAATATTAATCAAGACGATCCCTCAAAACTAAAAAAAAATAGAATTAATAGTCATTCTCATTCATTTCTCTCATCTTCCAAGCACGAGACTTGATGATAAACGATGCGCACCACAAATTATTCGCTAAAAATACACAAAAAAAGACAAGTCCCAAGTTCGGACTTCTTGTTGATCAATGATCACACGCAAGTCTGCATCATATGTTGGACAAAATTAAATATGGATAACGTAAAATACTTTTCTTTTCCATTTTGGTTATATGTTATCACAATTGTATGAATCTGGAAGCGTGTACCATTCACATCACATGGATGATTTAACATTTGGCAACCATGCATGCATTGACAACACTCTCATTATTCTTATATCTCCACAAGAGAGTTGCTAATGAAACTTTCTTAAAAGTAAGATTCTTTATGAACTCTCTGTTATCTCAAAATTTTAATAATATTTTATAATATTAGCATAAAAATTGACGTTACACTGGAAAGTAACAAAAAATCTCTAAAAAAATTCACTTTAAAATAGTCTCCTCGCCATTTCTGGTCTCGACAGTAGTACATTTGTAATTGGTGTAATTTCCATAAATATGATATAGACCAGGCGTGGAAATATTTGCCTCCCAAAAAATTTAAAATTTATTTATTAATTACTATCCTCACAGGCTTTGTCGATTATATTAGCTACATGATTACACGTTTACAACATCCAATATTATATTATTTTAGCTACATGATTATTATACTAATTTAGGGATATGATATTATATTAGCCACATGATTACAACATCCAATACTAAGATTAATTCAATGTATATGTGCGTGTGTGTGTGTGTATATATAGCAGCCTGCGGTGGAGAGCAAAAGAAAGGGAGCTATGGCAACATACTGTGTTACCGGAGCTACTGGTTTTATAGGGTCTTGGCTGGTGAAGACCCTCCTGGAGAAAGGCCATATGGTTCATGCAACAGTCCGTGATCCTGGTCTGTACACCTCTTTAATCAATTATCTCTCTCTTGTTTTTCTTTTTTTGGTTATATTTTTCACGCTTTTATTTTCATCCAAGTAGAAAAAAATTATAGCTTTCTTTTTGTTCAGATTTTGTTTGTGGTTTTTATGGTTGATCTTTTAACTAGAAAGGGAGATAAGAGATAGAGAGATGAAAACCGGTGAAAGAACTCTGTTTTGGGAGAGAAAAAAAGATGAAATAGGTTATTGTGGGCCCGCCACTAATACAAGATCTTGTTGAGAGAGAAGAAATGATGATATTGATAGTTAATTCGTTTCATTTTCTAAGTTGAGAATTAGCTTTCTGAAATTTGCACAAATTTTTGGTGAGATCATCAATACTTGCATATAGTAGCTAGAAGCCTAGAAGGATCTTATTTGAGTTAGCATCAGGTTCTAATAGTGGTATTCTTTTAGTCAAAGATCGTTTTAGGTAGAAAGTTTATGAATATACCTGCCTAGAAGTCATTTGGTTAAACATAATTACATGCATTTTAAATTATCTCAAGATATATGTGTATAAGCATGACATTTTGATTGGTAGACCACGAATGTAAGTTTATGTCAGCCCGGCTCAACTTACAAGTCTAGTTTATGGTTGAGATATCCTTAATTCATAAGATTGTTTGCAATTGGAAGATGTATATTTGAGATGTAAAAACTATATTTACATCCCATTTTATATTTTCATCATACGTAAATGAAATTCTACTCGAATAAGTAGATATATAAATATAAGATCTCATTAAAAAAAAATTTTTTATTGGAACCCAACACCCAAAAATGTGAAATATATATATAGAGAGAGATTATTTTCACACACCCCAAATTACTTCTCCCACACCTTTTAAATTTTTTAATATTTTCTACACACCATTAACACTTGATAGAAAAATATTAAAAAATTAAAAGGGTGTGGAAGTAATTTGGGGTGTGTGAATATAATCTCCCATATATATATAGGGAATTGTTATTAGTACTCCAAAAATCTCATTCTACACTCTAAATTTTCTATATTAGGAAACACTTCTGAGGAGTGTAGAATGAATCGTAAGGCTATTGGCACAATTAGACAATGGGTGGATGATAGTGTTTTTCACCATGTGTCTAATGAAACCAATGCTCGCGAGTTTTGGACGAAACTTGAGTCTTTGTTCGAGAAGAAGCCCAAAAAGCCTTCTTGATCAAAGAGCTCATCAATGTGAAGTACAAGGATGGTTTAAGTGTAGCAAAACACTTGAACAATTTCCAAAATATCATCAACCAATTGGCTACTATGAAAATGACGATTGAGGACGAGCTACAAGCGTTATTGCTACTTGGATCCTTGCCAAACAGTTGGGAGACCTTTATGGTGAGTGTAAGTAACTCTGCTTCTAATGGTGTTCTTACTCTTGATAATGTTAAAAATAGCATGCTCAATGTAGAAACAAGGAGAAAGACTTCTGGCATAGATAGTAGCCAAGTATTTGTCACAGAGAACCGCGGAAGAAGCAAGAGCAGAGGGCCTAGAGGTTATGGCAAGAGTCATAGCTGATCCAAGTCAAGGTTCAGGGGTGCATGCCACCATTGTGGCAAAGAAGGCCATATGAAGAAAACTGTCGAGTTTGGAAGAGAGAGCAAAAGGAAGGAAACAATGAGAAAAAAGATGATACTGGCAATACCACTGCTGTCATATGTGGTGATGTACCAGAAATATTGTCTGTTGGTGAATGCCTGCATATGGGCAACTTTGACGGAGACATTGAATGGATCTTTGACAATGGAGCTTCCTTCCATGCTACGTCCAAACGGGAGTTCTTTAGTACATACAAAGAAGGTGACTTTGGCATAGTGAAGATGGGGAATGAAAGCTATTCCAAAATTCTTGGAATTGGTGATATTTGCCTAAGAACTACTCTCGGTTGCCAGTTGATGTTGAAAGATGTGAGACATATTCTTGATATACGTCTCAATCTGATATCCATCGGTACCCTTGATCAACAAGGTTATTATCACCATATTGGCGAAGGAAAATTGAAGCTTACTAAAGGCTTAATGGTGGTAGCAAGAGCACGACTTTGTTGTACGTTGTACCGGTCAAATGCCAAGGTTTTGAAAGATGAGTTGAATGCTGTGGAGGACTTATCTCTAGACTTGTGGCATAAGAGGCTAGGCCACATGAGCGAGAAAGGCCTATAAATTTTGGCAAAGAAGTCTCACATTCCCTTTGCCAAAGGTACGTTGTTAAACTCTTGTGAGCATTGTTTATTTGGAAAACAAAGAAGAATTAGTTTTTCTGTTCCATCTACAAAGAAAGGAAATTTGTTAGATCTTGTTTATTCAGATGTGTGTGGTCCCATGGAAGTCGAGTCACTTGGAAGAAATAAATATTTTGTTACGTATATTGATGATGCTTCACAAAAGGTCTGGGTGTATTTGTTGAAATCCAAAGACCAGGTGTTTCAAACATTCCAGGAGTTTCATGCCATGGTGGAGAGGGAAATTGGGAAACCTCTCAAGTGCCTTCGTAGCGACAACGGCGGCGAGTACACATCTCACCAGTTTAGAGAGTATTGTGTGAAACATGGCATATGTCATGAGAAGATAGTTCCTGGAACTCCACAACATAACGGTGTTACTGAAAGAATGAACTGAACCATCATGGAGAAAGTCAGGTGTATGCTAAGGACTGCAAAGTTATCTAAGCAGTTCTGAGGTGAAGCTATAAGGACAACCTACTATTTGATCAATCGATCTCCATCAGTACCATTAGGTCTTGATGTTCCAGAGAGAGTATGGACTGGTAATGATGTGACTCTTATTTGAAGGTGTTTGGTTGCAAAGCTTTTGTGCATGTGCCCAAAGAGCAGAGATCGAAGTTAGACTACAAAGCTACACCGTGCATCTTTCTTGGTTATGGCGGTGAAGATTTTGGTTACAGATTATGGGACCCATACCAGAAGAAGTTTATCCGAAGTAGAGACGTGGTCTTTTATGAAGATCAAACAATTGGGGATTCGGATGAAGAGGCACAACTAGATGGCGTAGTCAGAGGAGTTGATCCATTAGCTTCAAATGAAGAAAGTCACGATGACATCCCTGAAGCAGCTGCAAATGAAGTGCCTGCAGAACCAGATAATGCTGATCAGGGAGAGCCTGATCAAGATGAGCCAGACCATGAGATTGCTGATCAGGAGGAGCCTAGTCAAGAATAGCAGATTCAAGGAAAACCCAATCAAGGGGAGCCTCTAGCCCCGCAAGAGAATGAAGACCAGGTCAGAAGATTCAGCAGAAGTCGAATACCATCTACCAAGTATTCTTCATCAGAGTATATCATGTTGACTAATTATGGAGAACCCGAAACTTATGAGGAGGCCAGAGCTTATAACGACAGTGATAAATGGATGAAGGCAATGGAGTCAGAGATGGATTCCTTATTAAAGAATGATACTTATGAGCTAGTGGAGCTTCCAAAGGGCAGAAAAGCATTGAAAAACAAGTGGGTGTTCAAATTGAAAAGGGACGACAACATGACAATGTACAAGGCTCATTTGGTTGTCAAAGGTTTTGGTCAAAAGAAAGGAGTTGACTTTGATGAGATTTTCTCACTGGTGGTGAAGATGACTTCCATTCGAGTTATCCTTGGTATGGTAGCAAGCATGGATCTTGAGCTCGAGCAGTTAGACATTAAAACTGAATTTCTCCATGGCAATTTAGAAGAGGAGATATACATGGAGCAACCCAAAGGCTTTGAAGTCAAAGGTAAAGAAAATTTGGTGTGCAAGCTCAAGAAAAGCTATATGGTCTTAAGCAGGCTCCGAGACAATGGAATAAAAAGTTCAACTCATTCATGGTGAATAATAGGTACAAGATAACTCATGTTGACTTTTGTGTCTATATCAAACAATTTTCTGGAGGTAAATTCATCATTTTATTGCTTTATGTTGATGACATGTTGATTGTCGGTCAAGATGCTTCTATGATTAAAAAGCTCAAAGAAAAGTTATCTAAGTCATTTGACATAAAGGACTTAGGGCCAGCCAAGCAGATTTTGGGCATGGAGATAATTCGTGACAGAAAATCCAAGAAGTTATGGCTGTCACAAGAAAAGTATGTTGAACGAGTGCTTGAAAGGTTCAACATGAAAGCAGCCAAATCGGTAAGCTCACCTTTAGCCAATAATATCAAGTTGAGCAAAGAGTCATGTCCAAAAACATATGAAGAAAATGAGAAAATGGCAGTTGTTCCCTACTTTTCAGCAGTAAGAAGTATCATGTATGCAATGATGTGCACACGGCCAGATATTGCTCATGCAGTAGGTGTGGTGAGCAGGTTTCTCTCTAATTCAAGGAAAGACCATTGGGAAGCTGTTAAGTGGATTCTTAGATATTTGAAGGGGACTTCTAAGATGTGTTTGTTCTTTGGCGGTTCCAAACCAATCTTGGAAGGATTTACAGATGCTGACATGGGAGGTGACCTGGATGGTAGAAAATCTACGTCTGGGTACTTGTTTACTTTTGCAGGGGTAGCCGTGTCTTGGCAATCCAAGTTGCAAAAGTGTGTTGCTTTGTCCACAACCGAAGCTGAATACATAGCCGCTACAGAAGCATGCAATGAGTTGTTGTGGCTGAAGAGGTTTCTCCAAGAGTTGGGTTTGAAGCAAAGTGATTATGGCGTTTATTGTGATAGTCAGAGTGCTCTGGATTTGAGCAAGAACACTACATATCATTCGCCCACTAAGCACAATGATATTCGTTATCACTGGATTAAAGATGCTATCGAGAACAAGTTGCTACAGCTGAAGAAGATTCATACCGATAATAATTCTTCAGACATGTTGACAAAGATAGTCACAAAATCAAAGTTGGAATTCTGCATTAAGGCTGCTGGGATGGACTCCAGGTAACTTGGAGTCATGATCGAAATTCCTCCCTCATGGACTGGAGAGGAAGATTGTTGGTATATGGTCCAACCCACGATCAATGTTCTAGATTATTCTAGTAAGCAAGTGAGGTGGCTAGAGCATGCTAGACAATTCTAACATGTTATTAAGTAGATGGAAGAAGCTAGAGAGAACTAGCTTCCTTGGTTGCAAATGGAAAGATCTATAAGCCACACTTTTGTGGCTAGTCTAGAATTATCTATGCTAAAGGTTTGAAGAATACACTAGAGACTACAAACTAGTTCTAGTTTGTAGAAGGAACTAGAAACTAGTAGAATGCCAAGCCCTCACCTATAAATATGGGTGTGATGTTGTAGTGATGTAACCAATTAAGAACCAAGTGTGAGTAGCAAAGGATCAAGTCCAAAGCTAGAGTTCCACTCCAAGAGTGAGAATGAGAGTGTTCCACTACACATTGTGAGTGAAGTTTAGAGTGATAGAAAGTGTGTGTCATACTTTCTTGTATCCATCAAGCCTTATCTTTGGCTTGGTAAGACTACTCTTGTTGTACTCATCTTTTTCATAGAGTGAAGATTGATCCTTGTTTCGTGGACGTAGGCATAAATTGCCGAACCACATAAATTCTTAGTGTCCATTTTCTACTTTACCTTGAGCATTCTCTATCTTGTAGTACCGACATTCCTAACATGTAAAACACACATTCCTAGGCATTTTGCATCTCACATTGGAGATGCTCCAATCGTGCTAATTTTCTTCTATGAATGTTTCAATAAGGGTGATGAGTTTCCACTTAAAATCGCACAGCCAAGTGTTTGCAGCTATTATCATTGTGGACAAGCACTGATCGGTTGAGATTGTTCCGAGCTGATTTGCGACAAGAAGGAAGCTTCGACGAGGCTGTGAAGGGCTGTGACGGCGTATTTCACGTTGCAGCATCAATGGAATTCAGTGTTACCGTAACAGAAAACATTGGTAATGCATAACATATGTGCTACATTTTCACTACACAAACAACACATAGCCCTACGCTCTTAATAAACCCTAACCGAGTTCCTATCTAAATTGTTTTTATGTCTAGAGAGCTATGTTCAATCAAATACCATTGAGCCTGCAATCAAAGGAACCATAGACCTCCTCCAATCCTGTGTGAATTCTGGAACGGTGAAAAGGGTTGTACTCACCTCTTCCATTAGTACCATCATTGCCAAAGATGGCAACGGAAATGCAAGAGCTGTTGTTGATGAGTCTTGCCAAACTCCAGTTGATCAAGTTCTAAGTGCAAAAGCAAGTGGATGGGTAAATGTTTCCTCTCCTCTATATAAATCTCTCTTTGCTTTATTTTTACAATTAGAAAATACTCAGTAATCCGACGCACATATTAGTCTATCTAGTTGAAATAGTCATTATCGTCCAACATATCAAACGAGGTCTCATTGTGCATTAAAAACATTCTTTCTTTAATTTACAGGTTTATGTACTTTCCAAGATTCTCACAGAGGAAGCAGCATTCAGATTTGCAAGTGATAATGGGATTAATCTTGTATCAGTCATAACAAGTACTGTTGGGGGCAATTTTCTCACTTCCAAGGTTCCATCAAGCATTCAAGTTCTCTTATCTCCAATAACTGGTGATTCTGCTATATCTCTCTTCTTCTTTCTTTCTTAAAGAATCTCGATGGCACAAGAAAGATTTGTCATTGAAATATACAAATACACTATGTTAGCCTTTCCAATAGGGGTGTGTGACTACAATACCCCTTGCCCATAAGTGTATCGGGTTTTTTAATGGGGCAGATGAAAGCGATGAAAGTATAGGACCTATTTCTTTAAATCTCACCCGTTCATTTTATGTTACATTAAATGCAACGTGCTTTATTGATTTCCCTCAAAATAAGAAGTATGGATATCATAAACACAATTGAAGTTGTGGATAGATCTTTCTATGCAGGTGACTCTGAACTTTATGGCATCTTATCTGCGGTAAATGCAAGGATGGGATCAATTGCTTTAGTTCATGTTGAAGATATATGCAATGCCCACATCTTTTTAATGGAGCACACCAAAGCGGAAGGTCGTTACATATGCGTTGCCCAAAGTTGTCCAATATCTAAGTTGCTTAACTATCTAGCTCAGGCGTATCCTTGCTCAAATTCAAACAGGTATAGTACATTTTTCTGTTAGACTTTTCAAGCTGCATATTATTTCAGTGATACTTCTCTTCTTAATGTTCAAAGAATTCCCAAGTTCAAATCTCCCTCTCGGTCGGGTGAGCTTTATGTTCTCAATTTAGATCCTCATCAGATCATTATGTGTGTGTGTGTGTGTGTGTGTGTGTGTGTGTGTACATTGCTAGAGGCAGTTCAAGAAAAATGGTCTTTAATACCATTTTCTCAGTGACCAAATGAATAATGGTCATAAATAGTAGGGATGAAATGAGAGTTGATTATTGGACTTAGCTCCTTATTCCTACTCAATATATATTTTAATTTGCTCGGAGTTTGTAACTCAAATAGTTAACTACTAATTATACGCACCTCCTAAAATTGTACAAGATTTCCCTTTATATACATAATGTTCTGTACATATTTTGCAGGTACAGAGTGATTGAGGAAGAAAATGATGTAGTACCCTATTCCGAGATCTCTTCAAAGAAGCTAACAGATTTGGGATTCACTTACAAGCATGGAATTGAAGATATGGTTCACCAGACAGTTTCTTGTTGTGTAGATTATGGCTTTCTACCTCCTATTTAGAGTTTAGAGTTTTTCTACGTTGTGGTTAATAACTTCTTTTTTTTTTTTTTTAAATGTGAACATATCGTCGGTGTTGTTCATAATTATATCATTAATACTATGAACTTACAGTTGTCAACGTATGGTCGACATGATTGTCAGTACATTGTGATATTTTAACTGCAAGTGCGCCTAACCGCAATTTAGAAAGATGGTTTAATTAAACTAAATCTCTGGTTATCGATCAAAGATGTGGGCTTGTTGGCAAACAGACATTTCCTTTCCTCTGTATTTTCATGTATTCGTCTGGAAGCATTTTTAAGGTTCTTTTTCAGGTATTGCTGAAAAGTTTTTTTTTTTTTTTTTCTTGTACAAAAAGCACTCGTTTTTTTTTTTTTTTGATCGAGGAAAAAAAAGAAAAAAAAACACTTGTTTATCTGTCAAATTATAGTTGGAAGGAAAAGCCATTTTGACCATGGAAGATGCTTTCGGCAGTAACCAAACCCGCCTTTACTACTAAATACTGTATCCAAGTCAACTGTTTTGGCTAGCCGAAGTGAGAAGCCAAGTTGGTGGCCACCTTACACAAAGCTGTAGATTCATCTGCGAAACAAATATGTATTCAAGTCAAATCAATTAGATTTAATGCTTTTGGCATCTTCATCGAGGGAGACAAAATGACAGGAAGAAAAGAATCTCGAAGTTGGACCCGGAGGCCTTGGAATTATATATGGTATAAATAAGAATTCAGTTTTCTCGTTCTTTAACATTATGTTTGGAAGAAGGAAATAAACGTGAAATTTTAATAAAAGTCAGAATTTATAAATTGACATGCATCAATTCATTTGTTTGGATTCATAAACATATAAATTTAGAATTTCCGTGTGGAAAAAAAAAACTTGGAATTTGAGACCTCCAATTCCTAAGTTCAAATTCCATATAAATAAGTATCATTTCCCAATTTCTATGATTGAGAGTTTAAAAATAATAAATTCCATATTCAATTTTGTGGATGCACAAAATCAGTGAGGATTTTGGTACAACAGAAAGTGTCAAGTTTGTGACCTTCGCTAGATTGCTCCGGTCACTAGTGTGGATAAGTATGTAAATGGATGGAGACAGGGAAGCAAACACAAGATGTACGTGGTTCACCCAGATTGGCTACGTCCACGGAGTAGAGAAGTTCTCATTAATTGTGAAGGGTTTACACAAGTACATAGGTTCAAGCTCTCCTTTAGTGAGTACAAGTGAATGATTTAGTACAAATGACATTAGGCAATATTGTGGGAGAATGATCTCCTTTTATAGAAGAGAGTTTCTAGCTTTGTTCTGACATTGACACGTGTCGTGTTGTGATTGGCTTCTGATGTTGACACGTGTCTCGTTGGGATTGGCTTCTGAGGTCAACACGTGTCGTACTGTGATTGGCCTCCTGGTTGGAAGGAAACTCTTCTGAGTCTTTGACGATATAACCTTAACTGGTGCTCAGTAGTTTCAGGATTGGTCAAGTATGGTACAAACAGTGCTCCCCTAAGTTCCCGAGTGAAGGAAGCTCCTCGATTGGGGACTTGCAAGATCCAAGCCGCTGAGTAATCACGAAACTTCTAAGTACCGAAGTATGGTATTGTCTTCACTTGCCTTATCTATCTCATAGGTAGATGTGGCATCTTCTCTGGAAGTACTCTTCCTCCATCCAGGGGTGATATCTTTAACCGGTGGAGATGTACAAGGTAATGTACCAATTTCACTTGAAGCTTACTTGTAGTTTCAAGCTTGGTCAAGCGCGATACAAACCATATAGTAGGAGTCCCCCAAGTCGCCGAGTTAGGAGATCTTCCAAAAGAGGTGACAGACAAGGTAAGCAATCAGAGCTCCAAGCAATCAGTCCCAGATCAAAAGTTTGATTTCGAGTTCCAGCTGATTGTTCTCATTCTCTTTATCTTGCAGGCAGCATGAAGAATAAAGAGAAGAAAAAGGAGAAGAGATGATATGAGATACTTTTGCTTTTGAAGAAGTAACTTTCCACAGGCTTATTCTTGAACTAGGCTGGAGGGTTTTCTGGTTTCCTCCAGAGTATAAGGCCGACTCAAGAATTTGAGGATCAAAACAAGTTCATCAAATTTAGAGTACGTTCGACCCTGATGATATGGGATACTACCCTGATGATATGAGATACTTTTGTTGTTGACAAAGTAGTGGATGTATCGGCACGTGTTTTGTTACGCTTGTCTCCACATGCTTCCTTGTATCCTTCTCACTTGCCCTATCTGTTCCTCAGGCAGATATGATATCTTCTCTGGAAGTATAAGATGTTGAAGAGGAGTACTCGAGAGCAATGCCAGATAAGTAATCATGCAAGGGGTTCCAGGCAGTCAGTTCCTGACTGGAAGCTTGATTCCAAGTGCTGACTGATTGCTCTCTTTCTCCTTGTCTTGCAGGTAAGAATAAGGGCAAAAGAAAAGACAGGGAAAAAGCATGATATGAGATACTCTTGCTTTTGACCATGATGATATGAGATACTCTTGCTCTGATGTGGCTGGTTTGCATAGGTATTATTGGGGGGGGAAGAAAGCTGAGTATTTCGAGAGGCTTCGTTGGGAGTGCCCTCTCAGATATGAGGAAGGGTTGAGCATTTTTGCAGGTCTGCCTGTCCGTGGAGGATGAAGGTCAACATATATAGGAGTCTTCCTAACAACAAGTAGTAATGTTATTCCTTTACCCTTCTTGGTCATAGCAATATAGTGGGAGCTGCAAGCTTCACGTGTTTTAACTTTGTCAGAGCATTTTGAAAAAGTGGTTTGTGGTATCTGAAAAGCTGATGTTGAGTGTGAAGATTGCAGACAAGCTTTATCCAAGGAAATCTGGCTCTCGAAGTTCGGAGAGTGGTGCCTCTTCGGTTTTCGAACAAGCAATCCTGTCGGGGATCTGGCTCTCGAGATTCGGAGAATAGTGCCTCTTCGATTTTTAAGAAAGTAATCATGTTGGGAGTCTGCCTCTCGAGATTCGAAGGGCGGTGCCTCTTCGATTTTTGAGCAAGTAATCCTGTTGGGAGTCTGGCTCTCAAGATTCGGAGAGCGCTACCTCTTCAATTTTTGAGAAAGTAATCCTGGTGAGAGTCTGGATAGCAGTGCCTCTTCGATTTTTGAGAAAGCAATCCTGGTGAAAGTCTGGCTCTCGAGATTTGGGGAGCGGTGCCTCTTCGATTTTTGAGAAAGTAATCCTGGTAAGAGTCTGGCTCTTGAGATTCGGATCGCGGTGCCTCTTCGATTTTTGAGAAAGCAATCTTGGTGAGAGTTTGGCTCTCGAGATTCGGAGGGCGGTACCTCTTCGATTTTTGAGCAAGTAATCCTGTTGGAAGTCTGACTCTCGAGATTCCGAGAGCGGTGTCTCTTCGATTTTTGAGCAAGCAATCTTGTTGGGAGTGTTTTCTCGAATGTGAGTAAAGGTTGGGCATTTTTTCCAGTCTGCTTTGCCACGGAGCACGGAGGTTGACACACATAGAGACTTTTTAGTTATCAAGCAGTGGTGCTATTCCTTTACCCTTGTGGGTAATAGTAGGGTAGTTGGACCTTCAAAATTTATGTGTCTAAACTTTGTCAGAGATCTTTGGCAAAGTTATATGTGGTACTCGAGGAGCTGATGTTGCGTGTGGAAAGTGGTGCATCTTCGAAATCCGAAAAGTGGTGCCTATTCGATTTTTGAACCAACGGTCATGTTGCCCTTTCTTTTATAAGGGCACTAATTGTGTGCAAGAAGTACATTCAGAGAGTTATTGCTTGTAGGAATTTTTCCCTTATTTTTGTACTTCAGAGATTTATTGCACCTTATTTCTCCTTCATCATTTCTGAGAATGTCTGGCCCAGCTGACCGTCATTTTGACTTGAACTTTGGTGAAGAGGCAGCCATGCCTTCTCAAGACAACATATGGGGCCCATCATTCTTATCCTCTACTGGTCTTCTTATCATTGGGGACTCTGTGATGAAGAATGATATAATCGCTGCGGTGGTGGCCAGGAACCTTCTCACTCCCAAAAATAACAGACTACTTTCTAAACGGTCTAATGAGTTGGCTGTTAAGGATTCCCTGGCTTTTAGTGTTCAGTGTGCAGGTTTTGTGTCAAAAATGGCCTAATGCCTATTTGCTCGAACCCGCCAAGTTGAATCAATGGCGGCTGAAGTGATAAGTCTTAAACAGGAGATTAGAGGTCTCAAGCATGAGAATAAACAGTTGCACAGGCTCGCACATGACTATGCTACAAACATGAAGAGGAAGCTTGACCAGATGCAGGAATCTGATGGTCAGATTTTACTTGATCATCAGAGGTTTGTGGGTTTGTTCCAAAGGCATTTATTGCCTTCGTCTTCTGGGGCTGTACCGCGTAATGAAGCTCCAAATGATCAACCTTCGATGCCTCCTCCTTCTGGGATTCTGTCCAGTACTGAGACTCCGAATGATCACCCTCTGATACCTTCTCTTTCTGGGGCTCTGCCGACTGCTGAGACTTCTCCTAAGCAACTTTTGTGAAGGCTCCCTCTTATTTGTTTATTTTGACTCATGTATATGTACATATTTGTAACTTATCGGAGATATCAATAAATAAGCTTTGCTTCATTTCAACGTATTGTGTTAAATACACCAAAGTCTTCTTCACTAAGTTCTTTGAATTTTTTTCTTTTGTTGAAGCTTGTATGTTGAAACTTTGTGAGTGAAGCATGTAGGTTGAGGTAGTGTTCCCTTAATTTCCCAAGTGAGGAAAACTTCTCGGTTGGAGACTTGAAAAATCCAAGTCACTGAGTGGTCGTGAGACTTCTGAGTATCAAGGTGCAGTAGTATATGGTAAGAGTCCCCCAAGTCTTCGGTCAAGGGAGTTGATGAATGAGGTGTCTTGCTAGTAGCCAAGTTTCTAAAGTAACAAAACTTCACAATTTTCCTTTCTAAGTGGTAGCCTAAAACTCCTCCTTCATATATATTTGTTATAAAAGTTGTTAGGCCCAAAGAAGATGAGACCTAGGCAATTTTTTTTTTCAATTTTTCGAATTTTTGAATTTTTGAATTTTTGAATTTTTGAATTTTTGAATTTTTGAATTTTTGAATTTTTGAATTTTTGAATTTTTGAATTTTTGAATTTTTGAATTTTCGAAAATATATATATATTTTTTAAGCTTTGTAGGTGAAGTTTTGAGGTTGAAGCTTTGTTGGGTACCATGAATTGATTTTGCTTCACATTAT